TGTAAAAGCTCATAAAAAAAATAATAAACATTAAAAAAAAAAAGGGAAATAGCCAAAGGGTGCTTAAATGGCTCTTCCCTATTTATATTTTCGCCATTGCATGTTTTTTTCTAAAAATTCTTAGTAAAAAGTTTTTTGTTGTAAAATGTTGAATTTTTCTAATTCTTCTACAAAGTCTGAAATTGGACTTATGTAGTTTTTGTTAGGTCATGAGCTGTATTTTGATAAAAAAATAATAATAATAAACATTAAACAAACAAAAGAAAAACTGTCTTTACTGGTCAATATGTCATGACTGTATATAGTATATCCTATAAGGAATAATAAGGAATATTTCCATGCCTGTGAATGTTCATGCACGCATATGTAAAATGCACCATTAAACCTTATCCCTTTAAAGTACAATAAGTAAAAAAAGAAAGAGTGCGCGATTGTGTAGGCCTAAATTAGCACAGCAACAACAACGGCAATGCCAGCTAAATGAGGCTGGGTGAGTGTTGCTGCAGGCTAGCTTTCGTTGGAATTGTAAATTGTCCGTACATACATATGTACATTAGACTGCATCACCTAAAAAAGTTGCGGTTTTTCCGCCGGGATTATAAAATTTATTATATTTGAACACGTCCACCAAAATATTTCGGAACAATATTAAGATTTACGAGAGCTGGACCGATATGAAAATACCACCGAAATGGAGTTTTTTATTAATAAAAATAATTTCTTAAGGAACTTTTTGAGATTAAACTCCCCTCAGGTGTCAAAACAGATTTAAAAGAGCTGCATAAAAATATTTTCAACGAAATCGTAATAATAAGATTTTTGATGCTGTTTTTAACCTTAAAAAGTCGATCAAAAAGAGGTGCAACTTTTGCCGTACCAAACTCCCGAAAGAAAGGTTCCTTTGGTCATAAACACGTGACCTACGAAAATTTGATTAAAACGGGTAACGGAAAGAGTGCCTCAAGGCCCTAAAGTTCAGCAAATTCATGGAATTTTTCACAAAGCGGTGAATATTTTGCCTGTAAGTCAGTGTGGAATTTAATATCTTTTAATGACACTTGGTGGAGTTTTGTCCCTCGATGTCAAAAATAGCTAAAGTATTTTTAAACCTACCCATCTTTTAAAGCTATTGAGGTTTCTTTAGGAAAAAGCCGTGAGGCATTTTAAAAAATTCAACATGGCGTCTCAAATATGGTATCTAAACTAAACGTAAATTAGATGTTTACTTTACAAATATTCTGCCACCGGAGAGCCCAATACTAGAAGAGAAAAGTTCCTAGAACTTTGGCTTTTGAATATGCCAAGCATTTTTTTTGATAATTATTTACAATAAAAAATTATTTTTTTAAAAGGCTTGTATATAAAAAAATATGGGAAATTAAGTTCCCTATAAATTTGTATACAACGTTTTTTTATGAAAAAATTCAAAATAAGCTTGCAAATCGCAAAACCCCAAAAAAAAAATGCAAGATAGTTGAATTTTCAGGTATGGAGCGAGACTGTGGATCCATGATCTACGTATCAAATAGAAGAAAACTGCATCAAAAGTTCGCTACTACACATTTTTTTCTTCGTACCAATCTGATCGAAATTTACCTGGCTAAAATTTAGCTTCTGAATTCCTAGAAAATTGTAATTTTACGTGAAAAAAACCTCAAAAAACTTTAAAAGTTGGGGAGGTTTAAAAATAGGTTAGCCATATTTGACATTGGAGGGCAAAACTACATCAAGTGCCATTAAAATATATTGGCGCATATTCATAGTCATATTTAGTTCACAACTAAGTCGAAACTATCCTAAATTTCAACTAAAGCTATTCATAGTCGCCTTAGTTTCGACTTTTCTGGCTAAGTACTAACTGAATGTTTAGTTTCGGCTGCAGCTGCAATTAAGTCGTAACTAGGAAGAAGTAATAAATTAAGGAAAAAAGACGAAATATGTAAAAATTAAGTTGGCTGAGCGTGATTTTGATAATACTGAATGATCTCCAATTGAAATTTACAAACAGCGATCCATTTGAATCGGAAGATGAAATTAAATGCGTATTACAATTCGAATAAGGCTACATCACAATTTTATAATTGGAATGATTTACATATATAAATGCTCAAATAATAAGTCAATTTCAAACTTGTTCTTTTAAAGCAATTTATGGCATAAAATTTAGATATGTGTTTGTATGTTTCACAGCATGCTTTCGATAAACATCGACTTCACATCACTGCGGTTGTTCTGGCTATTTCACACAATTAACAAGAAAATGATACCTTATTCTTTTGCACAAACATGCAATGAAAGTAAAAATTACATAAACGGATGATCAAACTTGACATTATTTAATAAAAATGTAATTTTTCCAAAATATCGTAACGAATTATCGATACATTTTCACACTCGTTTTGCAATATCGTAAAACTAAGTTAAAACTACTTAGTAGAAGTCTAAAATGCGACTATGAATAGAAGTGAATTTTAAGTTAGTACTTAAATTTAAGTTGCAACTTTATTAGTTTCGACTTAGTGGCTGGACTATGAAAACGCGCCATTAAGTTTCCCACTGATTTATAGGCCATTTTGACCGCTTTGTGAAAAATTGCATGAAAATTCTGAACTTAAGGACACGTCTTTTCTTTGTCCGATTTAAAAAATTTTTCGCAGGGCAAGTTTTTATGACCAAAGGAACATTTTTAAGTGGAGTATTGCTTTGTATGTTAATAAAAAAATGTTTCCATACAACTAAGGCGTAGGTTAATGTACAGGCATGGAAAGAGAACGAGCACACAATGGGCCAGCTTTTCTCAATATTCATCACAATCTGGATGTTAATTTTGACTCAGTATTAAAAAAATTTGTATCTATACCTCGGTGAATTGCATGTGACTTTTCTTTAAGTTTTTCTAAATTATATCCACAATTGAATACAATGCCGGCCGGCGCTGGTATCTAAGAACAAACTTTTTCGTATAACCACGAAGAAATTTTACTGCAACCCGACGGATGGCACTATACAACTGAATAGCAATACCGATATATGGGTATTTCCAAACTGGCGTTACGTGGCACTCGTATGACAAAATGTTAAACAAAATTAAAAAGTAAACATTTTAAAAAGGTTTTTACTAGATTTGCATAGCAATTAAATAGCCCCTTATTCAGTAAAAAAAAAAAAATGCAACTGTTGGAAGTAAGGATTTAAAAATATTAGTAAACATACGCGCTGGCGTCACGTTACAAAAACCAGAAGCGGATATTGACTTCGATTACAAAATTGCAAAAACCCTCCAAAAATTGGGCAAGACTATTTGTATAGTAGTTTATTTCCAAGTTTTTAAATATTTTCTGCTTTTCTGACGTGACATTACCTGGAGTTACGTTACTAAATTTCCATTGAAAAAATTTGTTAATATTGTTCTTGAAAGAATTTTTAAAGGGAAGAAAACATGCATTTTATGTGGGTATTATAACTTTGTTCACATAACGGTTGTTTGTAACAGGCAAAACGAATCGAGATAGATATAGACAAATGTATACATAAATGATCAGAATGAAAAGAGAAATCGATTAAGCGGTGACTGTCTGTCCGTCCGTCCGTCCGTCTGTGCACACGATAACTCGAGTAAAAATTGAGATATCTTAACGAAACTTGGTACGTGGACTTCTTTTGGGCATAGGACGGATGGTATCGAAAATGTGCGAAATCGGACAAAAACCACGCCTACCTCCCATATAACGGTAATTTTCAGAAATACGAAAAGTGCGATATTTTAGTAACTACTGAAGATAATTCACTCAAAATTGATATTTACAATGAGTTTTAGACGAAAAATAAGAATATTAAAAAATTTTGGCAAATGGGCGTAGCCACGCCTACTTATGGTTACATGTGTATATCTTGGTAACCGCTGCACCAATTTCTTCCAAACTTGGCACAGTTGTTGGTCCTGCTACAACATACCACATGGCCGAAAATTTTTAAAATCGGACAATAACCACGCCCACATCCCATATAACGGTAATTTAGAAAAATACGAAATCCTCGATAAATCAGTAAATATTAAAGCTAATTTATTCAAAATAGATGGTGGCAACAATTTTTTACCAAGAAATACGCTTATGATACAATTTTGGAAAATGGGCGTGGCACCGCCCACTTATTATCACATATAGTATCTCGCTAACCGTTCTAGCAATTTGAACCAAACTCGGTATGATTTTGTGCTTGCCACATAAAAGCAAAGCGGTGAAAATTATTGAAATCGGACTAAAATTACGACCGCTTTTCATATAACGGTATATTTCAGAAATGCTTGAAACTGCAATATTTCGAAATTTAAGGACGCTAATTTACTTAAAATTTATACACCCCGGCTTATCGTGTAGCGGTAGCTTTCGGAAAGGAGGAAAACATATATTTAATAATTGCGCCGGGTATTTAATGTTCGGCTCCGCCCGAACTTAAGACTTTCTTACTTGTTATTATTATTATCAACTAAACATGCCCAGTGGGAAATAAATCAGAGCATAAATACGGGTTTTCAAAATACCTGGATCAAAGCAGTCTAATCGGCCAGTAAGTAAGTAAGTTAGATATAGGACTTTATTAATGTTTTTTTTACCCGGTAGACTTTTCGCTGGATTCGCCCTTACATGCGTATGTATGTCCAAAAAAAAACAAAAAATTATGTTGACTTATTAACAATTTTTGTTGGGGTAGTCGAAAACTACTTGCAGATCAATCGGTTCATGGGACATTATGCGAAAATCACAAACAGCGGCGAAATTTTTGGTGACAGTTTAATCGCGGATTAGACATCCTAGTTGTTCAACAAAATTGCTTCCTATAGGTTAATCAATACAAACATATTTTAGAAAGATAATACCACTACTTCTAGGTCAATTTTAGTTTCGTGTGTTGTTTGTTCTAGAAATCACTTTTTTGCATAATTCTAAAAGTTCCATTCAACAAAATATTTAGTTACAGTTAAATGATTCTCATCGATATTCGCTCGCATTCCATTTATTAAATGCATATGTATGTATGTATTTTATATAGTTTAGTTATTCAAACATTTTCGCTTATTTATGTAATTTGCTTGGAAAAATCAATTGGCTTTTATATGCACTGATAAGTTTAACATTAGGTGCATTCTTTTGCAACCGAGCTACAAAAACTACACTCGCTTAAATGACGAAATACATGCAAAGCAACAACACAAACTCGGCTATTTATCCGAGTTTAGCAAGGTCAGTCAAAAAATACGCGAGCTCAAGGGTAGTGCTGGTAAGTGAAAAAACTGCTCTATTGTGAATTGTTAATGGGATAGTGGAGGGAAATTATTGTTTTCGCATATACATGATTTATATTTTAAATAAATATATATATTACGCACATACCTCGCATTATTACTCATTTCTTTTGTTTTTTGTGTCTAACAGGGTTGCTAAGTAGCTAAAAGGAAATTTTCCCCGAGTTGAGCGTTATTTTGTCGGTCGTTTACAAAAAAAATGCAGCTATTATACCAAAATTGCGTCAAGAAAGATCCTTAAATCTAAATATTCGTTAACTTTTTTATTTAACAGCTCAACAAACAATGTTCATACGCAAACTGCTGGCAAAATGGAGTGGATGGCAATGCCTTCTCGTATGTTCACTTCCAAGTGTATGAGGCGATCATCAGCTATGCCACACGACAACTCCGTTGAGGGTACTTGTAGTGCCGAGAAAAATAGTGCAGTCTTCTTACAGTCCACGGAACATGATGCCTCAATTTGATCCTTCTCTTTGTCACTTTCGCTAGCATTCATCGCACGTAACTCTAAATTTTGGTAGCGCGTTGTAATGGTTGCCATATCCGTTTCGGCAACCAAATTCATTTCTCCACTGGTAGTTGCATAAAAAATTATAGTCGGTGATAGATTCTTTATTTTGTCAATTAGACCTCGTATTAACCGATTGGAGGGCACATTTAACACCAATTTGCAGGTCGGTTTTCGAGGCACTGCATAATTTGGCCAATCGCAACGTGGTATTACATCCACAGGTACATGATGCATGGCGCGGCGCGACTTATCCGAGCTCTTAGTGGTCGCATCCACGTCGACCGTCAAGCAAGGGAATTGTAGATTAGTCAACTTCAGTTTACAATAACATGGATTATTTCGCAGCAAAGAGAGTGCGGTGCCTAAATTTAGAGTTGGTACATTTAGCACAATATGTGGGTCCAGTTCATCGTCCACACCTTGCATTGTGTACTCAGAGAAATATAATTTTGGATCGATTTCTACCCAAACCAATGGTGCTGTGCTGCAAGATTCCTCGTTTGCCACAAAATAAACTTTGTCCATTGAAATCTTCATTACGCATGTTTTCGCCAATTTCGATAGCGTTTGTATGATGTATAGAAATTCTCGCATGTACTCAGGATCCTGCATCATAGCACGAAACTTCATGGTGTTTGTTTATTTACTTTCTCAGTTTTATTAATGTTTGTATGTATTATGGTGCTTTCCGTAGCCTTGGTTCACGATGGCGGCCGTAAGTGGGTAATTTTGTTGTTCATAAGAATGGAAAAAAGAAAAACAGAATTCAAAGTTGTTTTGATGCCTCGCTTTCTGTACTATTCTACATTTTTTCATCCTACAATTCTTCGGAGCTTCTCCTCCGACCTACAGGTTAGTATTTTTATGAGAATCTGTTTTTCATTAATGAATACACTCGGAGGTTTGTTGTTGCCTGCTGTGGGCGACAGCTATTAGAACGAACTTTTTTGTTTTGATTTTAATTTTTGTTGATTCAACAATTTTATTAAGCCTAAGGCCATTTTTATTGAAAAATGGTGTGGAAAAACAACAATAATTAACATATTTTTTGATGTTGGTCGGAAGCTGGGCTCGAACTCAGGATCTACGGAATGGCAATGCGCACTGCTAACCACTACACCACCAGGGCCGCCATTTACTTAATATTAAGTTAATTAATTATTAGGAACTTGAGTTTGGTATTCATAAATGGATATGTAGTACACGTAATCATCTATCTATACATAGTATAAAGGAATGTCGAGATTTTTTGTACGCGGTAATCTTGAAAACTACTTAACGGATTTTGACGAGATTTTCTCTAATCTATATATCTATATGTATAATACGCGAAGAGATTTTTTGTGCAGCATAAAAGATCTGTACCTTTCGCCCGATTTTCAAAAATGAGATGTCAAATTAAAGTGCTTAGTCTGTAGATGTGCAGTAAGGTTTTCCTTTTTTGAAAAGAGTTGCCAGCTGATAAAAAAATTGCATTCAAATAATTTAATAATCAATGCCATAAGATCCACACCGTTCGTTCGATTTTCAAAAGTGAGGTGTCATATTGAAGGGATTGACCTGTTGATGTGCGACAAGGTTTTATTTTTTCTAAAAGGGGTTGCCACCTGTTAAAAAATGTAATTCAAATGATTTAATAAGTTAAAACAATTATTACTTTATGGGTATAAATCGAAATAGGTTTAAAAAGGCATTATTTCATAACTTCGCGTACAAGTGCTGCCACCTGTTTAAAAAATCAAATTCAGTATGAATTAAGGGAATTAGGCATTTGAAGTTGTATGAAATATAACGAAATAGTGCTAAGAAATCTTGATATAGTTTAAACATTAGAATTTTTCTGAGGTTCTGAGGAGGGTAGCCAGCTGTGAAAAATATTAAATTCAAATTATTTAATAAGCTAATTAAATTAATAGAAGATATGAATAAATCACAATGGGTTCGATAAAGACTTACTCTGAACTGTATTTAGCCACGTGTTTAAAATATCGAATTCAATTTGAGTCATTAATTTAATGGAATTTTGTGTCACAACGGTTTAGGACAGAAGAGGTTTAAAAAGATATTAATTTGAAAATACTTTTAAAGAGGGTTGCCACCTGTTTGAAAAGTCCAAGTTATTTAACTTATACACAAGTTAAATTAAATGTATAAGGGCCGGTTACTCAATGTCTGGTTAACACTAATCTCCGGCTAAACATAGTTATCGACGTTACCGACTTCCTGTTATATAAATGGAGTTGGATACGTCGATAACAATGTTTAACCGGAGATTAGTGTTAACCAGACATTGAGTAACAGACCCTTAATATGAGAGTTTTAAGAAAAATTTGTTTTATAAATATATTTTTATTAGGGTTACCACTTATTCGAAAAGTACTCTCTTTACTATCTTTACTATCTACATATCGTTAGTATAGTAAGAAGAGGGCGTCTCTTACATCGTCGCTGAAATGCAAAAAACCCACAACTAACTTAAGTGTTTATTGCACAAAACGATAAGGGGTCGTATAATTTCATGAAATGCATCATAATCAATCAAAAAGTTAATTTTGGGTTTTTAGTTAGTTACAGTTTTTTGTATTTCAGCTACAATGTGAGTTACACTCTTCCCATACTATACTAACGATATATTAAGTGTGGTCTATATAGTGCCCTTTTTGAATCATGTGTTATTTTGATAGTGACAGCTTTTTCCCGCTGGAAATTTTGACATAAAGTCAATATCATATCTCAGCAGAACGAAATTTTTTTAGCGGTACAGTGTGTTTTGATGGAATATTTATTAAGGTTTTTGATTAGGGTTTCCCCCCTGTTTTAAAAGCTAAATTCAATTTTGGCGTCTTAACGCCATGCGGGTTCACTAGTATACTCTGTATCGACAGGGTCAGAACTTATACAACAGCGAAAGATATTTTTTAACATAGAACGATAACTAATGTATAAATTTGTTTTAACAAAAATACCGAACGCTTTATTTTTATGTACCCAAGAAGATAATTTAGGTAGGGCTAAGTGAATCCATTCTAAGAGGCCTACCCAAGAAGGGCTGAGAAAAGTACTTCCTTCCATGCCTTCTAGAAGGGCTTATTCATTTACAATTTACGCGAATGCATAAATTTATATTATTTAGCATTACAAATGAATTCCATTAAACATTTTATTTGCAGTAACTCATTTCTGATATAGACCTTAAGAAAATACTTCAAGGATATATGATTTTTATAAATTAAAGAAGCAATTTTAAAAGAACTCCTCCAAAAGGCCTTCTGAAGTATGTCCTATAAAATCCCTTTTGGAAGGCCTTCCATGGATACTGAAAGAAGAAGCCCTTCAATTGGAGCCGCTCCATACAATAAAGAAAGGAGATAGGAATGTAGAGTAGAAGGAAATTATCTACTGGGTAACTATCAGTTGAATAAATGTGACGGGTAGGACACTGAAAAGAACTAAATTTTACGGTAATTTCTGCATACTTGGCTCAATATTTGTATTTTTTGGATTATGACACTATATAAGTAAATGAGCGATATGTTGCATGTATATAACACTGAATCACTCCCCATACAAACAAATCGATACTGTGTTTCGTTAAGAATTAATTTTAAGACTTGCATCAAAATATTTCCGAAATATATTAAGATTTACGTGATCTGGTCCGATTTGAAAATACCTCCAAAAATTGAGTTTTTGTGGTTTCAAAAATTGTTTATTAAAGAAATTTTGAAAAAAATCGCCTCAGATGACCCAGCTTTTCAAGTTTTTCTTAAACCAATCTTTGAAATTAGTCAAAAAACAGCATCAAAAATCTCATTATTACGATTCCGCTGAAAAAAATTTTAATTATTTTTATGTGGATTTTTTTAGGCTTAAACTGTTTGATCATCTGAGGGGATTTTTTTCAAAAAGTTCTTTAAGAAACTATTTTTACTCATAAAAAAACTCCATTTCTGGAGGTATTTTCAAATCGGAAAAACCGCAACTTTTTCTTGTGATGCAGTCTAATGTAAATACTTTTTTATGTGCATATTTAATTACATATATACATATTTATGTACCAGCTTAAAGCTTTATGTCATTATTCGCTATATAAACTTTTATAACCTACACTGCCGGAACAAAGTATTGGCACAGGAAATTTTTCACAGTATATGCACCAATTTTTATTCTAATATTTTTCCGCCAATTTTGTATAAAAATATGGTTCATTCAACAACAAAAGACATAAAAATAAAGTTCCTAAACTTTGTGCAAGACTCGCGAAAATTCAGCAAATTTTCATCAAAATTTTCAACTTTTTAATCAGAATTTTTAGACTTTTTTTGAGTATGCAGTTTTGCCCATTAAATTCTAGTAAAAAAAATGCAAGTTCGGAGTTAGTCAAAAATCGCGTTGATTTTTGAGAATTTTTTTTGTTGAAGATGTTTTGCATTTTTTTCATATAAAGTATTTTGGAAAAAGAAATTTTGTATGGAGGACTGCGTGAAAAAAAATCAACGGTAATTCCTAGCTACTTAAAACGTTCACTTTATTATAATAAAAATGATTGGGCGACAAATCTGCATACTCAAAAAAATTCTAAAAATCTGATTAAAAAGTTGAAAATTTTCATGAAATTTGCTGAAGTCTCGCGAGTTTTGCACAAAGTTTAGGAATTATATTTTTGTTTTTTGTTGTAGAATGAACTATATTTTTATACGAAATTAGCGGAAAAATATTAGAATGAAAGTTGTTGCATATATTGTGAAAATTTGCTGTGCCAGTACTTTGTTCCGGTAGTGTATGTATTTGAGAAAATTTAAACTTCCCATGCCTTCTAAATATACATACACATCGTCGATGTTTTTGCAAAACCGCAAATCTCCCAATTGCAAAACCACCTATCTTACGGCACTCAAATTTTATAGGAGCGAAAAAACAACTTATTCTTTGAAGGCATTGCCTTAATAAGCGGTATTTTCTCTAGCTACTATTTTATAAATCTGTTGTTTTAATAACGATTTATCGATTTTTATGCATAAATCTCGATGCCTGGAGTTCGGGTTACCAAATCTCATTTTTGCCACAACGGCGATTTTGGCGGGATGGGCGGTTTTGCAAAAACATCGACGAAATGTACTTACAGTATCGGTCATATCTATAGCACGCCATTTCAAAGTGATATCGTGTGCAACGGTGTTATAAAGGATTCAGTTGAATACATGGGACACTTTTATGCCTTATTAATAAATAAGAGTCTTGAATCAGGAACAGTACCAAAAGAATGGAAAATCTCGACCATAGTTCCGGTAAAAAAAGTGAAAAAAACTGTAAAAGCCGAGGAAATTAGACCAATTAATACACTGCCTAGCATGGAAAAAATCTTGGAAAATGTGGTAAAAAATCAGTTGGCGCGCCACATTGAAAGTAATAACATACTCATTAAGGAGCAATCAGGTTTTAGAGCTAAACACTCTTGCGAGACTGCGCTAAATTTTGTTATATCCCAGTGGAAGGAAGACCTTAACTCGAAGATGAATATCGTTGCGGTTTTTATTGATCTCAAAAGAGCTTTCGAGACCATTGACAGGGCAAGAATGTTGAAAAAGCTCGAATGCATTGGTATTGAAAACACGGAGCTTAACTGGTTTCGAAGCTTTCTCTCAGATCGTATGCAACAAACTGTAATCGAGTCAAGTGTGTCAAATAAAGTGGCAGTCAATATTGGGTTGCCGCAGGGATCGGTATTGGCCCCAGTACTTTTTAATATTTACATTAACGACATAAATATGGCACTCAAGCACTGTAAGTTAAAACTGTTCGCTGATGATACACTGTTAACGATCAGTGACAGAAGCTTACAGACTGCGATGACTAAAATGCAAGAAGACTTGGATTCTTTGTACAAATGGTTGTGTTTAAATAAACTTAAGTTGAATGTAAAAAAGACACAGTTTATGATCCTCACTAGAGCAGTTAATCTTGGAACCACCAGTTACAATTTAAAAATCAAAGAGGAAGAAATTGAGGAAGTTAAACTCATTAAGTACCTGGGTATATATATAGATAATAGACTTAAATTTGATGAGCATGTTGAGCATACAGTGAACAAAATTGCGAAAAAAATTGGTCTTATGAAAAGATCTTGTAAGTATCTGAGAAGAAGGTATAAAACCCTGGTCTATAGATCTATAGTAGAACCACATTTTATATACTGCCCAACAATCTTCTTCTTAGCAAGCGACGCAAATATCGAGAAATTGCAAAAAATGCAAAATAGAGCTATGAGGTTCATATTAAATAAGCGTTACGATACACCTACACAGGAGATGATCACAGATATGAATTGGTTGAGTGTTAAGCAACAGGTTTTCTATCATGCTATGAAATTCGTATACAACATAAAGAACGGTAAACTTCCAGACTATCTGAGCGACAATCTTCGGTATATAAATGAAACTCATTCATATATACTCAGGGAAAACAATTGCTTTAGACTCCCACTTTATAGAACAGAGGTAGACAAAAAAAATATATTTTATAAAGGTTTAAAGTGTTTTAATGAGTTACCGCCACATGTTAAAGACTGTGATCACTTTGTTGCTTTTAAAAGACAACTATTTGATCACTGTAAAACTCTGGCTATTAGGTAGGAGAGCACGGAACGGAATGGAAACCAGGCCTTTCCATCCGACCAAGCAGCAAATGATCTAGCATACGAAAGCTTCCGACTATGCCCAACAGCCCGACCATAACGCGGAGCGGAAACTAGGCCTTTCCGCCCGCCTCACATCACGGAATCCAGCGTCAGGGTTTGCATATTAATGACGACGGGAACATGGATCGGAGACTCGGCCTTTCCGACCGTGACTACCAACTCGTGAGCAACGCGGAGCGGAAACAAGGTCTTTCCGCCTGCTGCACATAGTACATATTTAAAGGTAGACTGGAGACTAGGCCTCGCCAGCTACCAAACTAGTTAGACAATATACATTTATATAGGTTATTTGATAGTTTTAGAAACATAAACAGCTTTGTAATTGAAAATTTAAACTTACATATACGCATACTTTGTTATATATTAAAAATACCTATCTGTACTTTTAAGTCGCAAGACTGTAACAAATAAATAAATAAATAAATAAAAAACTTATGTTTATTTATTTATTTTTGGGAATTTTCGATTAAAATACAGTTCTTTCCCGTACAAACCCCATTTAAACCCAAGTTTAAAAATTTGTAGAAAACTTCAAAAAAGGGCAACGAGTTTTGACCTAAATTTCGAACTTTTTTCTCGGAAGTGTTTGAATTTTTCTGAATACACAGTTTTATAGCCCAATCAATTTTAGTCTGATAATGTGCAAGTTCCAAGTGACTGAAAGTTACCGTTGATTTTTTAGAATTTTTTTCGCCAAAGGTGTTGCGGTTTTCATACATATACAAATAAATTGAGTTTATTCATTATATGGAAGCCAATGCGACAAAAAAAGTTCTAAAAAATTAACGGTAATTCGGAGCAACTTGAAATTTGCACATTATCAGACTAAAATTGCAGTGGCTAAAAAACTGTGTACTCAAAAAAATTCTAACACTTCCGAGAAAAGTTTGAAAATTGGGTGAAAATTTGTTGCCATTTTTTAAGTTTTCTTCAAATATTTAAACTTGGGTTTATATGGGGTTTGTTAGAGAAAAAACTGTATTTCATTTAGAAAATTCTTAAAAATAAATAAATAAGCATAATTGGCACACAATAGAACTTTGAAATGGCGTGCTATAAATATGACCGATACTGTATGTAGATAATTATTAAACGACAACAAATGTAAAACCCAAAGTGAAAATTAAAGTATGTATTTGTTAATTTACCTGCATTACGAAATGAGAGTGACTTGCCTAACAAGGGAGCCAATTTCCAAATAATGCTAGCTAGCAAGCCACAAAAATATGTAAAGAATGTACCTGCATACGTACTTAATAAAATATAATCGCAATCACGTCATAAACTTGCTAAATGGTTTGGCTAGCTTTTTTGTTCCTATCGGTTTTTATTGAGAAAATACTGTGCTCTGTCCAAAAACCCAAACGAACGCAAACGAAAATACATGAAACAAAAGTCAAATGCGAACAGACACGAGCTGGCTGAACAATAAATACAACAGGCACATGGACTTGACACACATGGAGCCAAGACACGCCATTTACGCTGGAGGTTTGCGTTGCAGATCGCCATGAACGCATACCATGCAGCAAAATGGGGGCTGTGTAGCCATATGCAACAGAACTCTTCAAGAGTGTGCAGGAGTAGGAGTGAATATGCAGCATTTTAGGATGATATATACATACATATTATATCAACAGTTAGAAACCTTTTCCAAGGTACTACGCAGTATATAAGACAATAATAAAGAGCTTCTGAGTTATATATAATCTTCCCAAAGGGGGTAAATTAGAAGCGATCCCAATTCACATTAGCACCCAATTTTTAAACGAGTGAAGGGGCGAAAAATCGATACCAAATTGAAACGACCTCGAATGATCTGGAATTTCACCAAATTGTAAAAAAGACCTTAAAAAACTTTAATTTCAATTTCGCAATTGCTGAATCATTACTTATAATTTATATGTATATATTTTTGGTGAATAGTTTCTTTGCTTTGTAGACATTTTGTTTTAATACGAATGACTGTCTACCTAGCTAGCCAACCGTGCTGCAGTCGTCGTTGTTGCTACACTCTTCGTCCATGTCGCACCTAGGTATCAATGATGAAATAATCTATTTTTCAGCAGGTTTGAAAATTCACCTCAACACCATTAAAACGTTTACATTTTATATTTTTCACAATAACTCACCTTTTTTCTCTGCTTATGAAGTACTTTTAAGTATTCTTATACAATTTTTGTTTTAATTTTTTGCTGAAAATCGCACGTCCAATGGACAACACCAAAAATTGATTCCGACAATCACTGCCGATTCAGCGTTG